TGATGGTGCCATTGACGAAGCCTTCTTTATTCTTGATGTTGAGAGCCATGAGCATAGCACGACTCCAGGTGCTGTAATTTTCTGCATTCAACAGTTGTGTGACGAGTATAAGCCCAGGTTGATCGGAATAATGAAGGTAAAGAGGATCGTTTGGAATATCAAACTTGTTGGCCTCAGACTTGGCTGAGTTTTGAGTTTCGTCTTTTCCTGCCATGTGTATTGGCCAGAAGAAGATGGGCAATTTCGTGAGTGTGAGAAGAAGAAAAAAAAAAACAAGAGTTTCAGAACCGTGGTTGCTCTGATACCATGTAAAGAAAGAATGAATTTCTTGTTATCTTTTCATTGAAAGAGAAGTGAATATATACACCATACAGACATCAATTTAGATCCTAAAATAAAGCATATACACTGTCATTGTCTATTCACACTCATACATAAATGTAAACAAATAAATTGGAATTGATGATAGTTGACTGAGATGATTGGAAGATCCCTGACTTTATGCATTGATTGACTTTTCATTCCTTAATAGTTATTGAGCTCGACATTCTTCGCCTTGGAGGCGTAGAACTTTGTCGGTCCTTTCATTACATAACAAAAGTCTGATCTCAGTGAATCTATTGGGGGTGTTCAAAGTCGTCAGACAGCCCCTCCACGGAGCGAGCATGAAAACTAAAGCGTATAATTAGATAAAGCCTTTTAATATTTTGCGACAGTTTCCATGACGTGTTTGTCCCTTCAAAAATTTTTGTTGTGCCACAATCTGTTTGCCGCGTTCAAAAACGTGACACAGCCGGGCGAGGAGCTTTCGCCACTGATTCAAGAAATTTAATGTCACACAGTTCTTCAGCAGCTAAACTGTTCATAGTTTACATAGAGCTCTCTTAAATTCACAACGTGTATTAGGGTTAGTTTTACTTGTTTCAAAAGAACTACCAACTCCCACTTTGGCAATCATATATTGATTTGTAAGATTTGAGAATTGACCCCTTAAACTTAATTAAGTGCGTCATTATTAAGTTAATTTTAATCAATTTTCTTAATAAAAGTGACGCTAAAATATTGTCCTTGCAATTATGATTAAGTTCGTGGTCTACGTCGAGATTAATTTTTTTTAGTTTTTTTAGTTTTTTTTTGGTAGATAGATTAATTTTTTAGTTAATGATAAGTATATACACTTGACAATCCATACACTGCAGAAGGATTCATTAGACGTGTCACACTAAATACTACTATAATATTTGAGGGGTGCATAAATTGTACTATTTCTATGAATCTGAGGAGACAGATGATCTTAAGATAATAAAATAATAATAATAATAATAATAAATAAACTATCCACAGGATATATTATGATAAAACTTTTCATGATATATATTGTCGCTTTTTTGTAAAAATGAGCTGCCTCAAAGAGGCGGAGCTATACAATAGTCTCCTAAATGCATACTGTTAGGGTCAAGTACATCCGGTGTGTATGACGTGGCGAGGGCGTGCACGTGTAAGAATTTGATTCATTGGTGGCGGTTCTAACGTGGTCAAAACACTTAACGGGCCTTTGAAGGACAACGATAGTAGGACCTCTGACGGTGATGTGGTTCGTTTAGGCCCAAATGAGGCCGAAGAACACGTGTTCTAAGGCCCTTTTTGTTGCCAAAATCACGAAAATACTCCTACAAAAAAAAAAGTTAGAAAATCCAAATAATAATAATGAAGAACTTTGCGAATGAAGAATGGTGGGATAAGTGATCATGTAGTTGATGGAGGAGTGACTCGAGAGGTGGATAAGGCTTTTTGATGGAGAATGGCTCTAAAAGCAGTTTGCAGGTTGTTTTGGAGGCTTTGAGTATGTAGTTTCGCTAGTGAATAAGTTTGTGCGAGAATGATCAAGTAGCCATTATACTTGCTCTGACAACAGATTACTCTGACACCAAGTTGCTCCGAATGCGCACGAGTGCTTCAAATAGACAACATTATACGAAAAAAAGTTAGGCAAGCATGCCTGACACGGAACGTACTCTAAGAGACATGTCTGGTCGTGAGAAAAGCCTCTGAATGAGCCAAGACTAATGGATTTCTCAGGCCTTTGAGTTGGAGAAAATTTATGAAGGATCAGCCTTGAGTTTTGGGCCTTTCATGGGTTGAAATAAATGATTTTGGACTTTTAAAGACAAGGGAAATACTTTCTTGGGTTGAATCGTCCATCATCCATTCATGCTTAATTTGACTAATTCTGATAAACCCCCCAAGCGTGTTTCAAATTGGGTCAAATTAAGGACAAATGGGACTATGTGATCACTCATGGCCCACCAAACCACAACTCACGGGAGTTTCCTGAGCGTGGCTTAGGTCTACGAAACGAGCCCAATGACGTTGCCAGATGCAAGGGATTGGGCCTGAACCCTTAATGAGCCTGATATGAATTCAGGTACCAACACATACATACATACATACATATATAAATATATACATACACACACACACACATATATATATATCTATATATGAGAGTTTTTCTTGTAGGATTATAAAAAAATAGAACTACTGATAGTTTTATTTTTTTCAACCGTTTTCAGCTGTCAGATATGCATCAGAAACTGTCTATTCTGCATATTTTTTCAATCTTATTTGATTTTGACCATATCTAACAGTTAGAGAACTAATCTTACCGATAGAACGGTTAGTCCCTATATATATATATTTACATATTTATATTGTACATAGATGTAGAAAAACAGACACAATAAGTGTGTATCTACATCGAATGTCTCTGCATATGATAGTTCATAAGAGTATCATATTCATGCCAAATAAAAATGTGTTATTTTCCTTCTTCTATGTACATACGGACTTGGGGATCTTCCATCTTCGTAGCCAATTGCTTTTCTTTGAAGATTGTTAGGAAGATTTACACAACATGACATGATTACAAGAGAGGTTTTAAAATGTAGTTTTTTTTTTTTTAGAATATTTAAAGAACAGGAATATTTTTAAAGTTTCTTTACAATGAGTGATTATTAGTTTTGCCCTTCTTTGGAAATCTTTTATGGTAGGATTTTTTTATTACGTCATGCTTTCATTTTGTATTTTTTTCATATATTAGATTTTCTGTTCATTTTTTTACTTCAGGATTTAGTTGCTAAGGGAGTGAACGCAACAAATTATAACATGGTTGGTAGATTTGATAAAAAAAGGAAACATGCGAGCATGGAAAGTTAGACTTTTTTTTTTCCCCTGGGAAAGCGGCTTTGGAGGGGGAAAAATTAGTATTTTGACGTACACCCCAGTCAAAAGAGAGCATTGCTTTTGAAAGCAAAGAATAAGCAAACAGCGGTGATATTGAACATCTCACACTAATAACATATAGATTTGATGAGATCTATTTATATTAGTTTATAAGTGTATTTAGTTAATATATTTGTGTCATGATTCGAATCATGGTTCATAGTTTGTTACAGTATTTTTTCACGTAATGATTCTTTTATTGCTAAGGATATTAGTTGTGGTGATTAATTAGAACCAATGATACGACTGGACATTTTTCTTTGAGAGTAGGCTTCACAGTAATATAAACACTCATTTTGTGAAATAATTTCCATGATACCTTAATTTTCCCTGAAATTCATGTGGCGTACAGTAGGAATGTGAGAATAAATTATTTTATTAATATTTCTATTGTTTTTATTTTTATTCTTAAGAATTTTATTCCTAAGTATAATTTTGTTGGCAACCTTAGATAAAAATATTATAATTATTTATTGATGATTTTGACCGAATTTGTTTTGCATATAAACTTATGATTTAAAGTTTAAATTACGTGGTGTTTGTCTCTTAATTAATCAGGTTATGAATTAGAGATTTTTGCGCAGATTTTGTGTGAAATAAGTTTTAGATTTTAAATCGTATATTTATCTCTTAAATTCATGAAATGTTTATCTCTAATCCGAATTTTGTGGAATTAATCTTTGTGTTTAAATGTGTCTAGATCAGGATTAATCTACTTATTGTGTTAGTTTTGTGATAATTATCTGCAGGATTTTGCATATCAAAATTTGATTTAGTTTAAATTTGAATAAGTTTTATATTTGAACTAACGGATCACATTTAGTCTGGTTGAGTGTCTTGGCACTGTAAATCTAAGTACTCTGTTCAGACGCATAAGTGCAAAAAACAAGCTATCTATTCGTACAACGTACGAGAAGGTTTGAGGTCCTATTCAAACAATGATTTTTTGAAAACAACTGGAATTTTGGGAAGAGATAAATCTAACAATTTTGAACAACCGAAATTCAAATTTACATAGAGATCACCACCAGATCTCAACCTCACTCAATCAAGTGAATAGATTTGACACTTTTCTCATATGCAAGAGTTTCATTATTGAAGGTGTGACATTCAAACGCGTTTGGTTCATGAATTTAAATCATGTAATTAGAATAATTTTTAATTTACGTGTATTTTTTGTGAAAAAAAATACTGTAACAAATCACGAATCATGATTCGAATCAGAAAATGAATCTAGGTACCAAACAGTTATATGTATTTCTGCATATCTTTGAGAAATATCCATATCATAATTCCAACTAGGAATAAAGAGAAAAAAACTTCCACATCTTTAAGTTGAATTTTGTCGTCTCATGGAGAAATTATCAGAATCAATTATACAATATAAAATATATGTGTTTCTACAGCTCTTTGAGAAATATCAATATCATAATTCCAACTAGGAAAAGAGAGAGAACAAAAATTCCACATGTTTAATTTGAATTTTTGTCGTCTCATGAAGGAATTTTGTCGTCTCATGAGGGCAAATCCAATCGATAGATATATTATATCTGTAAAGAAATTATTAAGCACAGCTAACCTTTTCATTTAAGAAAATGCAATAAAAAAACACAATCATGATGTTTGGGTAGCGACAAGATTTTGTTGGAGCAATCTGTACTAAAAGTGGCCAACATCTAGATCAATATATATTCTCATTCACTTGTATCTTGTGCCAATTATATATTCACTTTCCTTAGAAAAGATGGCAAGCAAAATGAAGCCGAATGTACCTGATAATAAAAAAAAAAAGAAAAAAAAATATACTAGTTAGAAAGGACATATATATATATATATATGTGTGTGTGTGTGTGTGTCAAAAATTATGAGAAACTTCTTCTAACCACCGAATTGCTGCGTTGTTTTATTTGACCTTTAGGTAGCCGCGGGTTCAAGAAAAGTGGAATATTTCATATTATAAACTGTTATCATATCTAACAGTTAAACGAAAGACTTGGATGCTTTTCTTGTTTGAAATTGCTAGCTATGCATGTATATATATGGTGCATGTATAATGTCATCGTATAAAAGTCTAAGAAACATATATATAGCTACACTAGTTAATTATTGAATAAGTATCCCAAATACTCGGACTTTTTTAAATACTTGTGCTGTTAAGAGATGAGTTAAAATTTATATATAGTGATGTAATTAGTATATATATATATATATATATATATATATTATGAAATGCAGAATCGAGTCGATATGCTCTTAGGTCAATAGTAACTGTAGGCGAGCATACACATATATATCTGACAATATAATATGGGGGAGATTTTTTTATCATATATATGTATGTATATGATTTAGGCGTTACATATATATATATATATGTATATCTATATATGTATAGAGAGAGGGAGAGAGTACCTCCGCGTTGTAAAATTTCAAAGGAGCCGGTGCTACGCCATAACTACCATTATGGTCTATCGGATTAATTGGATTCTTGAAATCGACATGGGGTCCTTCCTTGGAGCAAAGCAAGAAACCAATCACCCCACTGCATTAATAAAACTGGCCTTAAATTAGTCACAACTTCTCATTTTTATGGTCCTATATTAGTATATACATGGATATTTTACAATTAACTCTCTCAAATTAGTTACAACCACATATGTATATATTTTTAAAAAATAATAATAAATGAAGAGAGAACCGAGCAACACTAAAGTCGGTTAGTGATCGAAACTGGCCGTCCACCTTAAATTAGTTACGTACAATCACATTTAATTTACTATATAATACCAAACAAATCTAAAATCTAAAATCTAAAATCTAAAATGTGTACAAAGTGTCAAGTGGATCATACACGATCAACATGTAAATAGTACGTACCTTGGATAAGTGGGAACAATTGTCCATGCATAGGCTGCAGAACCTTTGAATATTTGGCGATATTTGGACAAGAGTTGGTCAATGTCTAGTGACTTAAACCATAAGCTTTCTGCTTGGATACACAGCACCCCTCCAGGTCGTAGAGCCTTTGCCACCAAATCAAGGAAGGGAGTCTCGTGAAGCTCATGATCACACCCTGAAATTATATCATATGTTTATATATCATCATATAATATAATATATATATATATATATGTATAGTACTTCATGTCCAGGATCGAAGCCATGTACAGTCAAGGGTAGACGGCAGTCCCATCTAGATTATTATTTTTTTTTCTTTTTGCGAAATCTGGTGAAGTTTGTAGTTCATCCCTCTAAAATTCCCTGTTTGCTAATTTATACATAATCTATCACTGGACTAATTATATGTGACATTTGATGCCCGGTTCCTGACTTATTTTACTGGCTCAACCTCTATTAGTATCTAAATAATATATAATATGCACATACAAAATGTGTATATAACTTGTACTGGTAGAGATGTCTATGAGAGTTAATTGTCTTGATTAATTAGAAATGATATGGTGATTAACTAATAATCATACTTATTGGGTCGAATGCATCCACTATTATTGCGTCATAGGTTCCTTCTGAAACAGACTTCAAAAATAGAGTCCCTGCAGCATATGCCGACGAGAGCAACGTTTGCATTAATAATATTATTAATGCCGATATATACCAAAGTAAATAGACAAATTTATTTTCCGTTTCTTTTCTTTTGTTTTTAAAGCGAGAAAAATTTCCATTGTATTTTTTTTTTAATTTCATTCTACCATCTTTGACATGAAGTGCTACTCGAGGGTCCTCATATCCAACAGCGACATCTGGGAAAAATTCTTTATAAACCTGAAAGCCATGTACCAAAAATATTAAGAGTATTTAAAGGTTTTTTTTTTTTTCTAGATACAATGTGTGTATATTATCACTTTTTTGTTGCATGTTTGATTAACACACTTTTTTAAACGTTAATTTCCTTCTTTTCTTTTTGGTTCGAGATATCGCATCATAAAATTTATATGTTTCTCGCAAGGGGACTGATCACTTCAATGTAGCTAGATTAATTACTAGAACTAGATTATATATACGCATGCATGTCTATATATGTATATATATACATATAATTTTGTGAGACCTAGTTAGTTCCACATACTTTTTTAAAAATTTTTTTTCCTGAATCACATTAATACATACTTGCTAAGTAGAAAACATGATAATTATTTATGATGTTCACGCACACACACACACACACACACACACATATATATATATTATCTATATTGGAGGTTTCATATATTAGTTCATTAATTATAAGTACTCACATCAATCAGCATTGTGTCTATTTCGCAAATATCAATCTGTTCAACAGAAGAGTGGCGCGAGACTTCCCTTAAGATCCCACCATCTCCTCCTCCAATTAGTAACACCTGAAAGAATAATTTACATATATATATATATATATTTATGGACAAGATGAGTACTAACTAATTATAATTAGCCGCTGCAGGTGGTGGCATGCCAAATGATTGAATTGTTGGTATTATTTTGACTAAACCGCGCCTATTATACTTACGCACCATATAATACGGATTAATTGATGCTGTAGACTAATTATAATTTTTGTAAAAGGGAATTAAAAAAGAACCTTCTTTGGATTTGGAATGGAGCAAAGAGGCAGGTGGGTCATCATTTCTTGGTAAGCACACTCATCCTTCTCTGTCAGTTGAAGTGCTCCATCCAGAACAAACACCTTTCCATATGTTGATGACTGTAAATATATACACACAAAATATATAATATTATCTATATACGTACACACACCACAGAATATGTTAATTATTTGGTCTCCGTTAACCATGTGCTTATACATATTGTAATGATGATAAGCTCCATTGAACAGATCATGCACATATATAGTATTTTGTAATAATAAGCAATATAATTAGGAGGAACTAATTATATATATATATATATATATATTACCTGAAATACCATCATACTTTGGTACTCGGATTTCCCTTCATATAAGATTTTTTCTATCTTTAAAAAGTGTGCTTGGCCTACAAACATATGTATTGATAAAGGATCATAATTAAGTAGTAGAAGGGATGGAGCAAAGAAAGTTTGAAAGCGAAAATTAATGAGTATACACAAACTTTACTTTGCACCATGTATATATAAAAATAGTGAGTCGTCACTATATAATTTGCTTTTTCACCCCACTTTATATATGTATCGTATATATTGATCAAACATTAATAATCGATCTGTTTACTAAGTTATAGTGTGTGTCTTAAAAGGATTGGGGATTAAAGAAAGAATGGTCTCGAAAGATTAATTAAGATGATCAATGAAAAGGAAAAGCAATATTATGATTAAAAAGAGACGCCACTTATAGCAATTCATTTTCATGTTAATGAAAGCTGCATGCACCAAAAAAGATATGTAGCCTTATCTCAACGTGTCACGCATGTACCTTTTCTTTTGGTGCTGATCAACTAATTGGTGTCTCACGTGCAAAAAACAAAAAACCACAACAGGAAGAAGAAGATCACAAGCCAAACTTAAACCTAAAAATTAAAAAAAAAGAAAAAAGAAAGGAAAAATACAAATAATAACCCAAAATAATCATAGATACATACATACATATATATATTCCAACCACGTGAAAGTTTAGGTTGCAAATATGTATTAGAGATCAGTTGTCCTCAACCCTACTGCAATATATACTATCCCAATAAAGAATACTATACATTTATTCTTTTTTTTTTTTAAATGGCTAGGATGTAAACAGGTGAACATGAATATATAAAGACATATATATATATATATATGTATATTCTAGTTTTGTATTTATTATTGTACTTATTTATGTATATGTAGCATCGGTGATGATATGAGTATTATGACAAGCCGATTCTCTTCTATAAATTAACTCGTTACAAAGTTGAAAAGGCACTATTCTTAATTAAAAGAACTAATTAAAAATATATGCCATTCCGATGTTTCCCTCCATTTGAACAAGATTATATATACGCTACAACATTATAAAAGCACCAAAATTATATACTTAGAAGCAAGACTAACTGCATGCCCTACCTACTAATTCAAAATAATGATGGAAGGCATGCCATGCATATATTTCTTTTCTTTTTTTTTTTACTTAACTGTAAAAAGAGAGTTTCATTATGGTTGAAGATTTTGAATATTTCACATGATCAATGGAAAAAATTAACATATATGTATGATAAAACAAATGCAGATAAGATCATATATATAGGATCTGATCAAAGGAGATATGTGTGTGTGTATAGCTATACCTGGCCATAATATTGGACAATCCTCGGCGAACCATCCGGAAATGTTTGGAACATGAGTGATAGTAAGATCATGATCATGATCATCATTAGCTTGTTTTCCATTTAGATGAGCCGAATCGACGATCTTGATCCGTCCGCCGCCATTAGTAAGGAGTAGTAGAGCTTGATCGTGATGATCATGAATATGATGATCATCTTGTAGTTTTGGAGCTTTGACAAACAGATCCTTAGATATTAATGTAGCAGCCGAAGCATGAACTGCTGAAACCATGGCAGTAGTACTACCTCTTTCCATTGAGTAATATTGTGTCCTTATAAAAATTTGCACTTCTTTCAAATCTCACCTTCCGATTCTCACTACCTTTTATATACAAATATGTATATATGTATATGTTTATACACATGCGATATTGTCGGCTAGCTCTCTCTCTCTCTCTCTATATATTCTCTTCTCTTCTATAATCTTTCTCTCTCTTGTAAAGTGGCACACCAAATTTGTCCAAAACTTCACCTCGAACGATCTAAGTGGATGTTGTCTCTTGACCTACAAGATAACTTTGCCCACACTACTGTTATATATATGTGTCTGTGTGAAGACTTTATTATTATTACTATTTTGTTGTCGTGTGCTTATAAATACATATTTAGAATATGAAAACACACGTATGTATAAAGGGAGGGTAATTCGTTAGGTCGGGTTACATTCCTAGACAAGATTTTGTGGTTAGGAAAATGACGCTACGTTTTATATTTATATATATATGGGTATCCTTGTTTTATTGAATAATAACCACTGATGAAAAAAAATATTGAAAACTCGTGTATATATAAATATATACTCATGGAGATATCACCATTTCGGTTTAAAGTCATTATTTTATTTGAAGTAAATGAAGAGAAATTGAGATTAGAAAAACTTAGCCTACCCTAACTAAACTAGGTTGACACCCATTTAATAACTCAAAGAAAACCCAACTTCTATCTATTAAGAATATAAAAATAAAAATAAAAATAAAATAAATTCTTCGTCAGCATCTGATCATAACTAAAATTACCAAAAAAACCCATCCGGTTTTTCCTTTATAGATCGTTTTTCCCTTTTTTTGGGTATCATTTGGCTTCTCTACATGCTATCTTCCATATAGTACTATTGTTTTTTTCTCTCAAATGCAGGGTGATGAGTTTGAATTTTTACTATTTATTCTTGATTTATATCCTTTTAACTAATACAATTATTTGATTAAAAAAGTTATTAATTAAAAATAAAGAGTACAAATTTAAACCCGTACACTCTTAAAGATATTTGTCTCATTTACCCTTATTTCTTTCAATAATAACAATTCAAACTCGTCTCTAGCAAATTTGTTCTATGAAAAACTAGAAGGAGAGAGAGAGAGAGAAGAAACTAATTTCAATCCAAATTCAATTAGCTAGGCAATCGAAAAGATTGAAGAAAGGAACTAATTATAAAACATTTTTTTTCATCTAATATTTCCTCTCATGCATTTAATTTGCTTCATTTTCAAAGCAGGCCATAAGAAGGAGAACAATGATAAGAAAAAGCAAGAGATCATAAACCAAAAAAAATATATATATATTACCAAGAAGAACAGGCTATATGAGGGAATTTGCACCGAAATTGACGATATGAACTTGGATTTGAAGCAGGAGAATTGAGGCAGAAACAAAACTCTAACACCAAAGTGCTTCAACTATTGATAGATATTCTATAAAGTAGGTTATTTTCAATTGCTGAAACCCATTTGAAACTTTCTTTAATTTCTACTACATTTATTTATTGTTATATATCAATTAATGGTAAGAGGGAGAGTAGTATTGAAAGGATGAGAAGGAAAAAAAACAAAGGAGCAACAAGTGACAAGTTTAATGGGAGAAGATCAATGGCTTTGACACGTTCACTGCCTTGGAGACTATAAAATCCGCTAGATGGACAATGGGCAGGTGATCAGATAAACAAATTTTTGGTCCGTTTAGAATTGGTTTTAAAATTATTTTGTTTTCAATAAAAAGTAAAAATGAGATTATTTTGAGACTCATTCTGGAACCGATTCTAAAATTGCGTTTAATTATTTTTTAAGAAATTATTTTAAATATAATAAAAAAGTGAAATCGCGTTTATTAATTAATATATTATAATATTATTGATAAGTATTAAAAAAAATGAAAACAGAAAAGTGAAAACAACTTTAAACTGTTTTCTAATTCCTGAACAAAAACCATTTTCACTTTTTTCGTTTTCAAAACATTTGTTAAACAAACGTCGTTGCGTTTTCATTTTCATTTTTTACTTCTCGAAGTACGTGAAAACCGTTTTAAAAAACGGTTCCAAACACGCACTTTCTTTTTTCTTATTCCTTTTTTCCCTCTTTTTACAGTTGAAGAATAAAAGTAAATGTTTTTCATTTCCTTGTATAAAAAACCTCAAAACAGAAAAAAGAAGCAGACAGCTAATTTTCTGGCTAGATCATCTCCACTTCATGCTTCCAATAACCACAATTACTTTCGAAAATTAAGGATAAATCTCATTAAAATATTGGTAAGAAATCACTGCTCCAATATTTCTTTGTATACCATCTGAGGTAATTTTTTTTCTTATGTGAGTCATTTGGGCTAATTAATTGGTAAGAAATCTCCATGCTAGACTTTAAGAAATTAGAAAAAAAAATTAATGAATTATTTGGTAACTAAGATATATATATATATCTCTCTCTCTCTCTCTCTCTCTATATATATATATATATATACACACACACACATATATATACGATCAATGTTTCTATATACAAGGGTAACTCCATTTGATTTTTTTTTATCAGGTCATTTGGGATGATTACTTGGTAGGAGATAACTACTGCTCAATGTTATTTTTTACTTTCCAAATATCAGATTATCCTGGAATCAACTACATAAAAAAATGTTACAATTATCTAACATAATCCCATAAGAATGTGACAATTTAAAACATTTCCTCTGAATAAAGTATTTCTTATCCCATTGTAAATTTCCAATAAAAGGCAATAGTCAAAGGACAAAAACAAGGTAATAATCTAAGAATAAATAACTAATAGAATAATGTAGAAATAGAGGTATTGGGAAGAGTAGACCATGAGGCGGTAATAAACCCTTTTATAAATCATTTAGGAATTATGTTGATAACATGATACAAGCATAATAGTTCTTTTTTACTAATATGAAGGTATTAATATTTTTTCTATTCAGGAATAGTTTTGTCATTATTTTAACAATTGTTTTTTGAACCTAAGAATGGGAATATTTGAACTCCACACTTTTAAGGGAGAGTGTGTCAAATATTTACTTCTAACTAATCCGCAACCGTATATTAATCAAAATTGAACATTGACTATTCATTGTAATAATTTGATATTAACAGTTTTATTTTTATAAATTTATTTTATTTTTATAAAATTCTCTAAAAAAATAAATAAAGCCAAGTAAGAAAATATTTGGCGCGCAATTCCCGTGCATGCAACAACCGCATGCACAAGCACAACCGAAACCTTAGGGACCAAACGATCTCCAAACCCTCCAATGTCTCTCTCTCTAATCCGCCATGGGAGAACAAGAAGAAGAAGAAGATCACAATGCATCGCTCCCACCTCCTCGTCTCTGCCGCCTCGTCCCGATTCCGCCACTTCTCGCGGCCGTTGTCCCTCCGCAAGAAGATCCCATGGTGGTACCAAATCCTTGACCCGGGAACCGACTTCGTTGCAAAATGGAACCACATCTTCCTCGTCGCCTGCCTCATCGCCATGTTCCTCGACCCGCTTTACTTCTACCTCCCCGTAATCGGCGGCCCCGCCTGCATGGAGATCGACCTCGGCCTCGGCATCCTCGTCACCTTCTTCCGCACCGTCGCCGACTCCTTCTACCTCCTCCACATCGTCATCAAGTTCCGCACCGCCTTTGTTGCACCGAGCTCCAGGGTTTTCGGCCGCGGCGAGCTCGTCGCCGATCCGTGGGCCATCGCCGCCCGGTATCTAAAGTCCGATTTCGTTGTCGACCTTGCAGCGGCGCTGCCACTTCCGCAGGTGAGTCTTTTTTCCTTTCTTGGGCTTAAATATTCATTGGATTATGTTTCGATTTCGTTTTCTTGGTTTGGTTAGTAGGTTATTTGTTCTCCGAATAAACTTACGCGGTCGGATTTTTTTTTCCCCCTTTCTTTCTTGATACAAAGAATGATAAGTAATAAATTACTGTTCAAATCTTTTTTATTAAATAATTTTCTCTCACAAAATTTAAATTTCTATTCAAACGTTTCCTTTCAAAAAGCAAACACCTTCTCTCGTCAAATCTAATATTATTACTGTGCTTTCTTATTGTCTTTTGGTCGCATTCTTTACCTTGTATATTTCTAGAAATTTGGGAGAGCCCGTTAAGTAGTATTTTCAAAATGATTTTTGTTAACGATAAAAATTCGTCAACTCAGAATTTAACCTCTTTAAAAACACTTGCGTTATGAAACTCGTGAATTGATAAAAAAATTAATGCATAAAATAAAAGAAAATATAAAAATTTATACTGGTTCGACAGAATATTAATGCATACGTCCACTTGTGGATGAACTAAATCTCAAAGAGTACATACAGAAGATCTCTCTTAGAGCAAAAGGTTGTGCATAGAAACTAATTGAGGAGTTTCAACCCTTATTTATAGGTTCTCATGCACATGATATCTCTTATCTCTAAATTATATTCCGAGATAAGCTTTCTATCCCTTTCCTAGATAGGGATTTTCGTAATTATCTCTATGTTCAAGTACTTGAATTTAAACACATGGTTGTTGAAGATAATCCACATTTGATCTTCTATTTAAATTTGAATATGAGATGAGGGTTATCTTCTCCTGATTTGGTGGGCTTTATGTTGATCTCTACCTTTTTTCCGGACTTGTCGACTCCTCTACGCAGATATCTTTGTGACCCTCCTAGGACTTCTCGACCACATTCGTAAAGCAGTATGAGAATTCCTTAACACAAGGACCTTTCCATAACTAGTACCTCACGCAGCTAAGATCAATCATGGCTTCTAGGATTCTCGATGTCGACAAAGAGACAACCGCTTAAGCTTCCGGGATAGTTTTCATACTACTCAACTTGGAACTGCCGGTAGCCTTTCTTTTCTTCTGCTGGCCTGGAAAAGTGTACTTCATTGTTAGGGCAAGAGCGATTACCTCTGCGAGAACTAATATAATACTAAGCTCATCGATAAGTAAAAGGGTAACTCGACTGAGAGGAATATAAAAAAAGAATTACTTTATATGAGGTCAGATGGTGGGTTAACTGGTTGTGACGAAAAATGGTGGTCAACTTAAAGATCGTACTTTTTGCAGTTCTCCAAGGTGTTGAGAGATTGGAGTTGCGACTAGAGTTGGGAAGTGCTAAAATTTGCTCGACTATTTCTAAAGCACTCCCAGACAGTTTGGGTTGTAATGGATTTGTTACCTGCACCAAGAACACAAAAAACATGCCAAGTATTAAAGATTGCTTGAGTAAGATGCTAAAAACAAGTCGACGCATAAGAAACCTATGATCCTTGCTGAAAATGGTTTAAACCCCGAAAGGGTGTTCACCGTCAGAAGGATGAAAATCAAATTTACCGCTGAGAAAAAAGAACTAGGGCTTCCATCCATAAGAACTTGAGGTCTTCTTGATGACAACCGTTGGGACTGGAGGTTTAGACTTTACGTGGGAGGCAAGGTAAAAGAACCCCTTTTAACCTGACCTGGAGGGTCTTTAAGAGCGTATCAATAGAAAAACTCCTTGATGCTGATGTCAAGATTGAAATGCCTCCGCCATAGGATGATCAAGCTATTTATTGTCACCCAACAATTGGGAGACAACTGAGCTGGGAAAATTCTATGAACACTGCAAAGAGCTTTCACAAATGGATGAAAAGGTATGGTCAGTCCAAAGGTAAGAGCTTGAGTATAAATGGTCACATGGTTTGGATGAGGGTTGTGAGCTTTATCTTTCGGTATCGAGATTAGGAAATAAAAGTTATTGGCATCGATATTTGCTAATCTAAATGCTGCAGAAGCACTATTTGGCCGAAGTTTCGAGGGGTTAATGTCGGTAATAAGGCTTGAAAGGTTACTCGTCGGCCTAATACCATAACCTTGACTGACCTGGTATCTAGTAGCGTTAAAGCCTTTGCATCGACATTGTCTTCACCCTCGTCATCGATAAGGACTTGAGCTCCTAGCTAAGAGCACGACGTTGCCACTTCAGCATACTCGTCGACTTGTCGAAGAAGGGGGTCCTCACTGTCTCCCGAGGTAGCGCTCGACGTAGCCACTGTTGGTTTCTGAATCAAATTTGGGTGTGAAAGCGTGGAAACACGGATCAGGTCCGAACAAAAATTTTCTTAAAACTTTTGTGAATGGTACATAATATATTAATTTACAACGAATAAATTAATCTAATTAATTTAGTTCAAGAATTATACATTGCGACCGATTAGGAGGATAATTCTAGTCTTTGACCACGAACAATCCAAGTGCTCTCATTCCTCAGACTACCACAAGGCTTCCTCTTCAATTCTTGTATTCTAACAAGACTGTGTGTGTATGTGCACACTTGAAAATACAATAAACGTTATCACTCGCCTCATAAGTCTTCCATAAACATCAACACATGTACGATGTGGAACTGAGAATGGAAGGGAGTGAAAAAGTTACACGTCGGTAATTAGCATGTTACACGTTGTTTGACAGAATGTTGCATGCCTATAACTGATATGTTACACGCCTATCACATAGGAGAAGGAGAAAATTGTGTTTTCTAATTTTCTACAATCTCCTATTTATAGAGTGTCTCCTAGACCTCATGGAAAGTTTACCTTATCACATAAGATGAAGTTTCCTGAAATTTAGAGATGGTTTCCCATTTGAATTTTGGAATATTTTCTCTTTCCTTTTCCTTGTAAAATTTAGCCACCACGGTGTCCAACACTGTGTGTGTGGCGCTAATAGCAAATAAGAAAGGAGAAGATTTCTCTTTTATCCAGTTTTCAATTTTGACTCAAATTTAAATTCTAATTAAAGTCAAACTTTCTTTAGATTTGAATTTCAATTGGACATTTTGTCAAACAAGTAAAAGGATAAGTTAGAGAGCAAGTAAGCGAATTCTAGTGGGATTCTTCTTGTGCCACACGCCCCTTGCACTCAGTGACTAGGTGTGTGGCCTATGTAGTCCCACCATATTTTGCTTTCCAAAATTAAATTAAATAATCACATTATTTAATATATAATTAATTCTTAATTGATTATTTCTGAGTGATATAATTTAGAATTCCACGATTCTAAATCTATTGTTTTACCCTTAGTGTCTCGTAAAATTAACGGGACGACACGGGGACTCATGGACCCATAATATCAAGCTCAAATAAAATTAGTAATTAATTAAACTCTTTAATTAATTAATTAATCTTATTAATTTAAAGAGTTATTCCACTATACACTTAGAATTGCACTCTTGATAGTATAGACAATTAATTACATCTGTGAAACGTCCATTTGATATACTCACTTCATACAGATGGATCCTATATAAATATTTCATAATTTGAGTAATTCTATGTTTAAAACATAATAGATGCAATCAACGGTCTCAACGTCATTCATTTGTACAAATTATTTTTTTCAAAGGGTAATTTGCATAAATGGCCTCCAACCTCTTTAGTAAATGACAATTTGATCCTTAATCATTTTTTTGACAAATCGGCCCCCAATCTCTTTAAACGGGCGCAATGTGAGCATCACGTGCCTTCTTTTTTCAATTAAAAGACAAAAATATCATCAAAACCTCACACTCATAGCCTTCTTCTTTCAATCGCCGCTTTCCATTAAGGTTTCACAACTGCATTCTCAACCCAGAAAAAAAGAAAAAAGAAAAAAATAAAAGAATCAAACTTTAAAGATACGATAAGTTTTCATGGGTGGAGCAGCGGAGACGGAAAGAGCTCTTAGGGGTAGAAGAAATGGAAGTCTTTGATAGCGGTTATGCAGGAGAGGAAGCGAGAAGTGAAGGCTCGGGATAATGGCCTAAAAACGAAGCGGCGAGAAGAAGAATAAGAAGATGAGGTTGAAGAAGAAGGAATATGTTAGGCCTCCTGCGACGTTAGTGTATTCTAGGAGGAGGGGCAGGAAGGGTATATTGCAGGAAGCAGGGGAAGGAAGTGGAATTAGGGAATAATTGCTGCTGAGTTGGCAAGTTAGTTACAAGTGGAGCGGAAAGGTATTTAGGCAGCAGGGTAGGACGTAAGAGGGGGTCTGGGAATTGAGTATTTTTTTGTTTCAGACCTTGGAGGCTGGGAACCTTGAATTCTCCCAATTTTATCTTTTCTTAGTCCTTTTCTTTTTATTTCCATCTTTCCTGTAATTCTCTAAGGGAGGTGTTCATCTCCTACGGAGGTCTTGAGGTTGAATCAATAAAGAGGATCTATCTGAATTTCTAGAGAATCAGTTTGTTTCTATTTACGAATCGTTGAACTAATCAGGAACGTAACATTTTGGTATTAGAGCGGTTGGTCCATGGCAGGCGCTTCTGACAAACAACTACCGATCGAGGAGCTGTCACGGCTCGAGCAAAGGATGGACTCGTTCCATGAGGCATTGCAGATCGTGGAGGCTATTATGGAGCCACTACCTAAACTCCAAGAGGATGTGGTCGAGATTGGGGTCCAAATGGGGGAGATTCAAGGATCAGTATGGAGGCTGGAGAACCTGCTTCTCAGGCAGGCGGAGTTCTTCCAGCGGAACCCACAACCACCCCCAGGGTACGATGCTGGCCCACAGCATTTCCCTGACCTTCGCCATCCCCCACCGAACGGCAGACTGGCGACGCTGCCCCCACCTCCCCGCCACGAGGAGCCCAGGCGATTCGAGAGGGATTTCCGACGGGCGACCCCTCCACTACCGAGAGGAAGAGCTGAGCACCGGGGAAGGAGGCTCGAGATGCCCCTGTTCCACGGAGAAAACCCCCAGGGGTGGGTGTTTAGAGCCGGCCGTTACTTTTCCGTGAACGACGTGG